GCGGGCGCATCGCTAGAGCTGCCTGGTGCACCGCTTCCACGTCCGGCCATGGCGAGGCGAAGGCGAGGCTATGCGAAAAGCTGAAAGAATCCTCGAGCGACCAGCAGCTGCGTGTAGACTTGCTGCTGTCGCTCGTACATGTCACTCCGTGCAACAAGTTGCACTACACTGCAACCCCTCTACAAATACGTATCTTACGAACAGGTTACCAACACCTTCTGCTAGCTGCCACGAGTACCGGGCTCACGCCCTTCAAAAGGCTCTGTCAAAGCTCTCGGTTTGGAGACTCGTCTCCAAGCTTCAGTTTGCAGATAGCAATTTCCTCAGTAGCAAGAGCAGTAGGAGTGGCAGGAGTCCTGGATCGCAGCAGCAGCGGCAGCAGTAGCTCTAGCGGGAGGAGGAGCAGTGCTAACAGAAACAGTCGTACAAGTCGTACTGGTAAGTAGTGCCAATAAAATGAGTAGTATCAGCAGTACTAGTAATAGCACTTCATCGTAGCAGGAGTGGTAGTGGTAGTAGTAGTCGTCGTCGTCGTAGTCGTAGTAGTAGTAGTAGTAGTAGAAGAAGAAGTAGAAGTAGTTGTTGTTGTTGTTGCAATCATGACAGGTCTAGTCATAGTACTCATGTAACAGACATTCAAACGTTATCGTTTTAGTTTACTTCTTATCGTTTTACAGGCTAAACCTCACAAGCGGCATCCTAGACGAATCTGCAAGAACCTCGCTTGTTTTACAACCTCACTTGGAGATTGCTGACACTTCTCGTCCTCTCGTGACCGTGGCCTCAAGCTGGCGAACATCACAGAGCGGAACTCTGCAAGATTGACCTGCTCAGCAAGGGTTGGGTCTGAACAAGGGGCGGACGGACAGAATCAAGAAGAAGGCTGTCAGAATTAGAGAAACGTGAATATGACCGGATCTACACGATCTTTGCGCAGCTCATCTGCGACGGTGCATACTCCAGACTTCAAAGGGGCCCACGGAGTACCTTGTCGTAGTGTGCCAGCGTCAAGGCGAGCACGTCGCACTCCTCCTGCAGATGTTCCAAGATCCCACATTCTGACAGATTCTGACAGCTTCAACTCGATACTTCGGGGTCTGGAGTCTTCCGTAACGGACATCCCCTGCGGCTGTCTCCAGAAGACCCAACTACGACGATCGCATTGCGCTTCGAAAGAGCACGACAACGCATGCATTTGACAGCTGCGTCACAAGTAGGTGGTGTCTTTGCCCTGCGAGGCATGTCAAGCATCAACCGTGGATCGGCCCCTGCTTGCATGCAGAGGTCGAGGAGAGTGGCAATGCGAAGATTCAGATAAACGTGCGACGTTGAAAACAGATTCCAACGAGCTTCTTCCACTCCGGGGAATTCCAATGTGTCGCTTACCAAAGCCAGGCTGGCACGGCACGCCGCGTAAATTCAAAATAAGACAACGGATTCACTCACCGAAAAACTTCAACATCTCGGTGCACCTGAACTCGATCAATGTTGCCGATGTAGGGCACCAAGAACTCCATAGAGTACAAAAGGTCGGCAAACCACATGCCTGGGCAACGCATTGAGACAACCTCAAGAGCACAACCCTGCACATCATAGTAAGCCAGATACGGTCCCCAATGCCCATGACGGAGGCGTTGAAGCCTTAGATGTCGCGCCATGAGAACCCACGGCTCTGCGTGGCATTTCGACAGTGTTGCTTACGCCAGCAATGTGCAGAAGCATGTCGAGTCCGATCTGTCACAAGATGTCACAGGCTTGTGTGTCTTTCGCATATGACGTCTACAACTCAACAGCGTGCATCCTCTAGAAAGGATTGTATGGCGACGTCAAGCAACGACTCCACATGGGAGGTGGTTTCCACGACTTCTTTGGATCCCCTGAAATCCCGAAAGCCCAAGGATTTCCAACACAAACGACCACGCACAAAAGACTTCCTCGGGATCGTGCAGGCATGTCATACATTCAACGGAGTTCAGAAATGCCCTTGGTTGTACAGCGACAGCCAGCAAAGCCTCTGGCGATAAACAACGTGATCACCGTTCAGCAGTGCTCGCAAAACGTCTAGGACGGAAGCAGCATATCATCCTGTGATTTGCAAACTCATGCAGTTATCGGCAGTTGTGTGAAGCGGGGTCGCGCCGACCGGAGCAGCAGTTCGTGCTGCACATGTGCCCTGTTGCACTGGCCGCATCTGGCCCCTCTGTACATCGACGTCTGCTAGAGTCAAAGGGCGTGCCATCGCTGCAAAGGTCTTCGGAATGTCCATGTTGGAATTCTGCTTCCACTGCTGGTGGCAATCCTGCGAAGGAAATCTGAAAAGGATTTCGCCTCAGCATCCTGAGGATCTCTTTGCGCATACAAGAGTTTGAGCTGAAGTCCTGGTCGGCCTGCTCGCCCTTCTCCATGGTCGTCCCATCCTGGTGGCCTTTAGGCGAGGTGCCGTCCTGGTGGCCTTTTGGCGATGCTGCCTGTCAGAAATAGCCAAGAAAGACGCAACGTTCTGACCTAGATTTACGTGGACTTTCCGGCTTTCTGTTTTCGGAAACACCTGTCGGCTGCGAAAACATGTGCCTGTGGACATGGCTGAGGACTGTGACCTTGTGCACCCAGAGCTGGCAATTCAATCAGAATCCGTGCCGCCTGGCGTGAAAACCGCTTTCAGGTAGCAGTCATGAAAGCTACAAGCAGTGGCGTTGAACAGACAGGGATTGAAAGACGAGAGACCCGGTGACACCACCTGAAAAACCAAGTGGGACAGGACAAAGCTGTGGGAAGCCCCAAGCTGAAAGAGTTGATGACAGTCCAAACGTGACCAAACTGAAACCCGTGGTCGGGGCCTGAGCCGCATCGGAGTGATCCTCGCCCTCGTGATCCTCCTGATGCTCCTGACATCGGGCACATGGCCGAGCCCAGAGCCCAGGGCCCAGGGCCGAGCTAAGAAAACCACAGGGGAACCACACGCGTCCTCTGCGGCCTCTTCGCTTGTGGCGTTGGCCTGCAGATTGCGGTCGCGACATGTCGCGACATTTCCTGCTTCTTTACTGCCTGAATCTTTCTGACGGGTTGCTCAACAGTGCGAAACATGCAACAAGTAATTCCATGTAACCTCTGCCAAGAAGGCCGATGTTTCTATTGACAACAGATGGTCAGGTGTTGACGATAGGGCATTCAAAGGCCACCGTGCAAAGCTGCACGATATCAGATATTCAATAGTGCAGCTTCGATCGGTCTGCGAACGCGCTTAATTTGCAACTCTCTGCTGATGGACACATCCCGACACTATCCACAGGAAGGACGATACAAGGCAGCTTCGGCCTCCTTCCAGCAGGTCCTCAGAAGGTTAAGCCGCTCAGCATAATGCCTCGCCAGCAGCTTAAGGGCTTCCAGTAGGTCTCTGCAGCCATCCCAAAACCCGAACCGCACAGAGGCACATGCAATCTGGGCTAGCTGCGTGTCCCAGTCTTCTCCACAGCCAAGACACTCGTGCGTCCGCGCCAATGAGACACCCAGGGCAGTGATCGTCTGGCTGAGGCCGAACCTTATTCTGCTGTGCTTCCTTTGGCATCTGCTGTCAAGCATGCTGGGAAGCCAGTGGTAAGGCATGTCTCGTAAACCCTTCCGACCCTGAATGGCCCTGAATCGCCTAGAGAATGCTAGCCGAAGACACGATTCCCGATTTGGCGACGCAACTGAAATCTGTGTTTTCGAATTGGCGTTTCAGCTGAGTGGCTGAAACTCTGCCGTCATGAGTCCACCCAGTTTTGATGCACACACTTCGAGAAGGATGCCTTTGAACACCTGACGGACAACAAAGAATCATATACGTCTATGGATATATGTGTGCAGACATGCGTACATATGTACCTTTGCATGTGAACACGCATATATACAGGCTTATATGTATGTACCTATGAAGGGCGATGGTTGTTTCAAGCGAAACGGTTCAACACTTGGAACACCGTTATCAAGCACTTGCGTGGGATTTGAACATCTCGGCTACAGACAAACTCTTGAGCTCGAAAGCAAAACTACTACAACAGCGTCCTCAACGTCGGCCGTTGTGATGTCTGCATTCATGTGGCGCCTCACGATACGACATGATTCCAGACCGTGGGTGCACAAGTCTCAAACCTTGCTGCATCAACACGAAAGCTACGACTGCCTGTCTTCGTGGCACTCCATGAGGCCGCGTTCGCGACGAGTTTAAACATGCCCGATATATTGAGGGTGCAGAGATGGAAGATTGGCCGAATTGAGAAGGCGAAGACTGACAAACGAAGCGAGACAGGATATACAGGATGCACGGTGACCCATTACAAAAATGCACCCTGTGCTGAAACTCCGAAACACAACACACCACATGTCTTCAAGTCTTTGACATGTTCATGTCCAGGGCGCAAGGCAAGGTACTCCAAACGCTTTTGTACCAGCTTGGCATCATTCAAAGCCTGCAGAAGCCTGGGCACTAGGCACTTCTTGAGCCTTGTTGACCAGGCCAAAAAGTTCAGCTTCTGGGCTTTAAACCACCGGAAAGACAATGATTCCCAAGACTAGCTGTCGTTCATCCCCGAAAAAAATCGAATTCCACGCAAGCACGGCTTCGAAGCTGAGGACATTGACAACTTCTTACTTTCTGAGCGCTGCAGACTTGGTACGACCTTGGCCAACGGACCATTCAAACAGCACGACAAAGAAGCCCTCCGCGGTTGCGCACCCATCCGAGACACTTAACTCACCTTGTGTCCTTGGGCTAAAAAGCAAGCCTCCGAATGTCAGGCAATCTTGAACGTCAGATGCCCAACAGCCCAATAAGTCGGGATGCTCATCCAGCAGATGCCACACAGTACTCGATCGCTTCCTAGGCTTGGGACTCTTCGGCCAAAAAACCCTTCCTCCAAAGACTCTTTTGTTGGAACCTCCAGGACCTTCACGGAGATCATTTCTGGTAGCACTGCTGCGTGATCGGTTTTCAACTTGAGCTGTCACTCTCTCGAAAGAAAGGGCATACTAGTATCATCGCTGATGGTATTTCATTCCTGGCAAACTGCAAAGCTGTGTCTACTTTTCGAACTCTCAGAGTCTTTTGGTCTGACAGCTCGGATACATCTCTAAGCTGCATGCTTATCCGGTTTTGCTACTTCAAGCTGCCTGATCTGTCTAGATCCCCTTCTGGCATAAGCTTGGCACAGTGCACGAATCACGAGTCGCAGCTTCTTCGCAAATTGGTCAAGTCTCAACATGCCTTCAGTCTTGGGCACGGCGTCCTTTAGTTTCCCGAAGACCTGGCTGGGCGAGCTGAGGGAACTCGGGTAAGCGGATGAGGTTGCCCGTTCTCTAATAACTGGGCAAAGGCAAGATCACACCAGAATTATGACACAGGAGTGTTGAAGCAGACATCCAAGCCACTACTTGCTGCAATGTTCGGCATAATCCGAGGACTGTAGGTTGCATGAGAGTGTCAACTTACACCGTCTTGCGAGGACTGGTTTTGGTATAGTGCTCTGACACACGTTTGGAAAACCGCGTGCAGATTCTAGGTACACATCCCTTCATGGAACCGAACCTCACCACAGAACCCTGCGGCACAGGAACAGGCGCAGCATCCTCATCGAATCTGTTGGAGAAGCTTCAATGTCCACATTAAGACTCGTGAAAACCTCGTCAAACCTTGAAGAAGGCCTGCTGCGAGCGCACACATCTGAATCCCGTTCGACTTACCCTCACACGGCTCTGCAGCAGACACCAGCGAGCAACCTGTCGTGCACTCTTATATTCCGAAGTTTGAGATCACCAAACTCTCAAAACTCGGATACTGGCGAGGGACATGCTCTCCGGCTTCTTTTGGACCTCCAAGACGCTTCTCCTGAAATTTGAAGGAAGATGGTGCCAAAGGCGCAGCAGGAACTGAAAGCTCCAAGACAGTTAGGACGGCCCTCCGCAGCAGGGGCCGACTGTCCGACTCGCCGGACCCCTAGTCAAACCCAACCCAAGCTGAAGGAGACCAAAAGCCAAAAACCCGTGGGCTTGATTCGGCTTGGGCCAAGCCGCCGTCGTCTCCCAGCCATTCTGGACTTCCTTCACCGTGTACTCATCAAGTTCCTCAAGGGATCATGGGTGATCACTTTGACCTGCGAAGGCCGGCGCCTTCTCCGTTCTATAAGTGTCCAGTGCTGTTCGTCTGTAGGAAAGACTTCAAGGCAAGGTGCGGAAGAAGCTTGATGTCTAAACACCAACTGGTCCAAGTTGGGACGGGATCTGCTGACAGTTCCGTGCGTCGCTAAGGCTCCAAGCGGGAGACCCCTTTGTACCTCGGAAATATCCTTCTGTCCGTTTCGCGCTGCCTTGCAACTTCCTGGCTTTCTTGCGTGAAGGTCTTCTCAGTTGCGGTGGACTCTTACTTCTCTTAGATATTCCGCGTTCAAGCTCAATCCTGCCCGGCAGAAAGCACATCGGTGGCCGAAGCACTGCAGGCTGCGGCAAACAGAGGATATGGCAACTGTACACGACCCCCCTCCGCAGATGGCTACAAAACCTTCAATGCCTCGAGACCCAGAGACCCACCCCATTGCTCAACCTTAGAGAACAAGACCTTCTTCAAGTCCAGGATCGATGGCAGACAACAGCCTCGAGGCCTCTTCCATTGGAATGAGAATCAACCGCAAACCCTGCGAATACGTCGAAGGATGTGCAGCGATGCGCCGGATGTTCAAGGGCTTCAGGCATGCTTGAGCTAGAGACTCTTATGTGCTGGGGCTGGCTTCGTTGAGGTACCAATTCGGACCTGGCAGCTCCAAATCAACTCCAAAATCTGGGCTTCAAGCTCGGACTTGAACTCTCGAGAAGGACGTAGCTCCTAGTCACCAGTCGCAGGGCTCGCTTTAAAGCAATTCACCTCTTCGAGGTCAGCAGCTACTCAGCTAATTGCAAATGGCTGCAGGAACATGTGAGCTTGCACCAGGAAAAACACACACACACACATCAGGCCACTTTACAGCCGTGCGAAGCTGTGTTCCTAACATGGGAACGACCTTTATGACGCTGCAGCTCAAAGGCCACGTCGGTTTGACAGGACAATGGGAGGAGTAGGAGAAGGAGTAGGAGCAGGAGCAGGAGGAGGAGTAGGAGGAGAAGTACGAGTAGGAGTGGAGGAGTGGGAGAGGGAGCAGGAGCAGGAGTAGGAGCAGGAGTAGGAGGAGGAGCAGGAAGAGGAGGAGCAGGAGGAGTAGGAGTAGGAGTTGGAGTGGGAGTGGGAGATGGTGCGGGTGGGAGCGGAGCGGGAGTGGAGTATTGGGAGGAGGACTAGTAAGTAGTAGTAGAAGTTTTAGTACTAGTAGTAGTAGCAGCAGCAGCAGCAGTAGCAATAGCAGTAGCAGCAGCAGCAGCAGGAGCAGTAGCAGTAGCAGTAGCAGTGGCAGTAGCAGTGGCAGTGGCAGTAGTAACAGCACTGTTGCAGTAGCGGTAGCAGTAGTAGGAGTAGTAGCAGCAGCAGCAGCAGTAGTGTGGATTGATGATGAAAAGAGAAGACTCGTGACTAGTCGCTGTAAGCAGCAATAGTTGTAACATTATTACTGTCAACAACAGTAACAGCCCAACGGCAAGCAAGAGGGACAAGAGATTCAAGACACTAGTGCAACTACGCGGCCATCATCAACTGGATGTAGTGCAAGTGACTGCCAGTCCAGTTATCGCAGAATTCACAAGTGCTTCGGGGCTTTTTCCACATCGCGCATTAAGCGGATGCCAGTTCAAGTTGCTAAAGGTACACCGCAGCACCGCGATCGACGAGCGGCCTGTGCAGCACAGAAGCAGTTCCGGTGACTTGGAGGCACGGAAAGCTGTCGCACCCTGAGGCTCTGCTGTGCGCGGTGTCTAACGGGGTGTCGGAGAGCTCTCCTCACCTGGCCAAGAAGCCCGAGAAGCCAACTTCAATGCAACTTCGGGCTGGCCCTGCTGAGATGCATCCAGGACACCTTGCGAGGAGCCTTTGCACAGAGAGCGCGAGAGCGGGAGAGAGAGGGAGGGAGAGGGAGGGAGAGGGAGGGAGAGCGAGACGAGAGAGACAGACAGGGAGAGTGGGAGAAGAGACCTCACGCTGCCGTCTCTGCAGAAGGAAATTTCTAGAAACCTCTTCCGAGAATTGGTCAGGAGGTCTTACGTGCAGCTTCAGCAGCCTCTCTGATCGGGATTATCATCGTCCACTGCACCTGGCCACGCTGCAGAGTCAACTTCAATAATTGTTGCGGAGTTTGGCAGCACTGCCGTAGTGCCTGGAGGACGGGCAGGAAGCTGAAGCGGTAGGTGCTTCGGTACTGGCATGGCAAGCCTCACGCAAACTCTGCCCCAAGCTGCGGAAGATGCAAAGCCTGCAGAACCCTCTCTCTCTAACCGCACACCAAGGGACTGCGACCCCGGCCTGGTGTTTAAGGACGGCGGCAGCAGGGGCATCTGTCGCTCCGTCTGTCGGTCCATTGCAGGCGGGGGCGGCGGTTGCTTGGGCAGTGTTGCCGGAGCCTGAACATCTCGAGTCAGGCTGTCAGAGACCCATACGGGACTAGGAGTAGGAGTAGAAAGAGGATCAGCATGAATCAGCGAAACAGCGACTTAAGCTGTCGGGTCGCAGGATCTGAAGCCATAGCAGCGCTGCGGAGACTTGAGACCTGGTTCATTTCGTGGGGATCACTGCTTCTTCTCTCCTCCAAAGCTGGTCTGCTCGGTTTTTTCGGGGGAGGGAGTGGCAGGTTGTTGCTCTGCGGCGGGGAACGCCGAGGCGGCGGCGGCGGAGGTGGGGCCGTCTTTGCTTGGCTTGGGCTGGGGGGCAGACACAAAGCAAAGTCGCTGGCCCAGTCCGAGAAAGCTTGGTCGACGCGCACATCAATGCGCTCGGCGTTCTCCACCGCAGGGGGCGGCGGCAGTGAAACTGCCAGGGTCTTTTTCTCGCGGGACCATGGAGGTGGGTTGGGGGGTGGTCGAGGTGGAGCGGCAGGATCCAAACTCCGCTTCGGTGGGGGAGGGGGAGGCGGCGTCTTCGGTATGCTGTTGGCACTGCTTGGAGAGTCTTCTATCATGTTGGGAACCGCCGAACCGACGATGTCCCGGAGCTCCTGGGCGAAGCTTTGGAAGTACTCCTCCTTCTCCTCCGCCTTCTTTGCCGGGTAGAGCGGTCTTGGGATGGCAGGTCCCGCGCTTCCCATGCTTTGGCCCAGGCCATAGGAGGGCCCCCGCGGGAGCTCCGTAGCCGCGCCGGAGCCGGGGCCGGAGCCCGAGGCCGAGGCCACGTCCTTCGCCCAGTCCCAGAAATGCTCCTCGCCAAAAGAAAGCGAAGAAAGCGCGATATAAAGCGAAATTAAGAGCAGAGCTTAGTTGGGCACATCTCCCTATAGGGCATCTGGATGCGTTTATACTTAGAGACGGCAACGTAGAAAAAGAAGAACAAAGTGTGACGCGGACTCAAGAAAAGCGCTCCTCTGCATCTGACTTGGCCTGCTTGACCTCCTGGCTCGACGGCGCAGGCTCCTGGGGAGCTCCTTCCCGTCCTTCCCACGCGACCTTCGGTTCGCCCCTTTCGAAGGGTACAGCAACGGCGACACGGGCGGACTTGACGGAGCTCTTGACGGAATCGGCCATGCGTTGGCAGGTAGCCTTCGTATCGGGGACATTGACCTTCACGTTCCCGGCGTGTAGCTGCCAAGCACAGAGACCGATGACTACAACGAAAGCAACCGCAGCGAGACTGGTTCCCACGATCAGGCCGGCATCCGAGGGCGCATTCGTGGTGGTGAAAACAGTGAAAGTTGTTGTTGAGGTCTGGGAAACCGTCTTGGTTGCAGTGGTCGATGTGCCTGCCAGCGGCATGGGTACGTATATGCCCACATAGGCGCCACCGGCTGTGGTAGCCTGGCACTTTATCTCGGTGGCTCCATAGCTGGTTGGAAGCACCCAGGATGTGACATCCATCGACCAATCCGGATCCTCACAAGGAAACCACTCCACACACACCTACCCACACACACACACACACAAACACAAACACACACACACACACACACGCGCGCGCACGCACGCACACACACACACACACTGTGACTGAGAAAGTGCTGGCACACTCACGGATGTGATGTTACGTTACATGTCTGCTGGATGTGGTGTGGTGAAGATGTGCGATTGCTCCAGATTGCGGCAAGCGTGCAAATGGTCAAAGGCTGCGGCATGTTGTGACTGCAAACTGTGTGTTCCATCGATGACTGTGGCAACATGAACACTCTGATCTTGGCACAGGGGCCCTCTAATCTTGCTGGCGCAGGGGCCCCCACATCACCTGGTCTTCGTTGGCCAGGACAGGTGATTGTGGGGATTCCTGGTCCCCTGCAGCGTAAAGTTTCCTTCATGGTGTAACTCGAACATGTCGACATAATGCTGACTGCGTTGAAAGGCAAAAGCATGCGAGGGTTGTGAGCCCCTTATCTCATGTACGAGAGAAGTGCGCACGCGCACACACACACACACACACACGCAAACACACATGCGCACACACACACACTCTCTCACACACACTCCCGCTCGGACATCCTCTGCCCCACGCTTCCGACTCTCCCTCTTTGCGCACCTGCTCCGAGGTGCCCAGGCGTGCACAAACAGGCTCGTAGGTGAAGCCTGTGGGTGCCGGGACCAGCGGCAGCTGGGGCCTCTGAGTGACACTGGAGATCAATCACACAGCAGCCATGCAACAGCCATGCAGCAGCCATGCAGCAGCCATGCAGCAGCCATGCAGCAGCCATGCAGCAGCCACTACAGCAGCCATGACGACTGGGCCACCGGCAGTGGCAGGGTCAGGTCGACGGGTGGATTGAGATCTTGCTCTACGACAATGGTGTCGCAGGCTTTGATCTCCAGCACTTTCACCGTTGCGTTCGGCAGCACATACCGGTTGATGCCCAAGCCTGGGAGACAGCTTCAACCGCTGACCATGACCGCAACTCACATGAAGCTCCCTTGCACGCGGTGCGAGCCCTCTGTTGGGGGATGGCTTGATTGTGGCATGCGCCAGGGTCTACTCAGCACGCCCTTCCATGCGTCCAAGCGTCTGCTATTCAAGTAGCTGTATGGATTGCCTGACATCCAGGGACAAGGGCAAGACTTGAGACATTGCCACTGTGGTCACAGAATTGAACCAAGGTGCTGAGGACCCAGTCCGTCTGCTGCACCGCCAAAGTATCGCAAGAACTACTTTGCAAACGTCGACCCGCGAAGCTTCCGACGGCAGCAGGAGGGATCTGCGCAGCACACAGGCTTCAGCGACAGTAGGTTTGTCCACATCATGCAGTCGCTGCCTCGACACCATCTGCTGCGACTCCGTTGGACTGCGCTTCCTGGACGCTCTCCTTGTTCACGTTGATTTCCTTAGACAGCATGCTACAGTCCGCTACGTACTACTGCTGAAATCCACCATTGCTACAGCCGCCACCACCGCCGGTACCTGCTCCTGCTCCTACTGCTGCGGATCCTGCTGCTGCTAGAAGTAGTAGTAGTAGTAGTAGTAGTAGTAGTAGGAGTAGTAGTTTTGGTTGTTGTCGTAGTTGTTGTTTGTTGTGTGTTGTCGTCGTAGTCGTCGTAGTAGTAGTAGTAGTAGTAGTAGTAGTCGTCGTCGTCGTCCTCCTCCTCCTCCTCGTCCTCCTCCTCCTCCTGCTACTACGACTACTGCTGCTGCTGCTGCAGCACCTGCTACTACCACAAACTACCGGTACTGCTGCTGACCACAGGTACTGCTACTACTGTGATTACTGCTACTATTGCGACTACTGCGACTACCCCTGCGACTACTACTGCAACTCGTCTACACCTGCGACTACGACTACGACTGCGATGATGAATGTTTCGGCGACGACTGTCTCTAAGACGATGATTACCACGACGACGACGACGACGACGACGAAGGACAAACCGGAAAAAGATGAAGAGGACTTGTACACGTAGATTTTTCGTCCGAGAAGCCAGGCCCTTGCCGCTCGCGTCCACTGAGCTCATTGTGGAGGAACCGCCCACGGGTGTTGTAGCCAGGGCTGCGTTTCCCAGCTTCGACGTCTGCGGCAGGATCGTTTTAGCAAAAGGCACATGTGAATAGGAGTATGCGTACCATACTGTCTTGCTTTAACGATGGAGTATGGAAAATCTCACAGGTGCTGAGGCACCATGACGGCCAGCTCTGCCGCACGCACTGTGGCTGAAGTCTCGTCCATCTCAGTCGTAGCTGCAGCATAGCCTTAATGGTCGGTCCAAGCTTCACGACCCTTTCCTGGCCACACCTCCGAAAAAAGTTGAATCATTGTACGACCTAGCGGCTGTCTCCAACGGCAGCGATGCTGCTGAGCAAGGCACTGCCTGCGGCAGCATCCACGCCTTCGGCACCCACTGCTGCCTTGGCTTCCGACAGTTTACTGGGGGCGCGCACTGTTAGCAAACCGAGCCGACCCGGCGCCGCTCTGTGCTGAACTAACAATGCAATCAGCAAGGACAAGCAGTTTCGCGACGGCCTGATCATGTAAGTTTGCAATATGACGCTGCCAACGGCTTGGCACCGTTGCGGGCAGCTTAAAGCTGAGGGCGGACAGTCTGCAGACCTCTTGCCTCAGAATGCCCTAGGCGAAGACACCAAATTGTAACCTCAACAATATCCTGGGCCAAATCCGGTCACCTGCCACACGACGAAGAAGAAGCAGGACAGGAAGAGCAAGACTATTACGGAAGATACGTGACAGAACGGTGTTGTGGCCGGGTCGCATCCAGGACGCTCGACAAGACTTCCGATGCCTTGGCGGCCGATTCCACGTCCGCGGTTCCAGACTCGCTTCCGGACGACAGGACCTCCGGCTTGCTTCGGTTTGGTGGTTTTTTGTCTAGGAACATAATACTTGAAAAACTCACAGGGTCTACGAGAACTTCAGAATTGGGTCGATGTCCTTGCTGCGGCGTCCCCGTCTGGGGCTTTCGGGGGCATAAACCGTCAAAATCAGGAACCGCCCGACCTCCGTGAGCACCCCACCGAATCGCTGCAAGCCTTGCCACACAGATTACCAAAGAGACCGGCACAGCAACACCTCGCATGCATGCCAGAAAGGGATTACAACAAGACCTTAGTGACCTGATGCCGCTTCAGGCATCAGTGAACCTAGAACCTGCCATCAGTTTCCATCCATCCGGGCTCCGGGCTACGAGAATGCCCTTCTCCATTCTGGAGTCTCAACTGCAACAAGCTGAGGCCCCGACTTCCGGCATCTGTGTCGACTATGGTGGAAGCTGTCTTGAGTGCCTGGAGCGCTGCACCCACCCACCAAAGCCCGAACTCTCAGGCTCAAAGCCTCAGCCCTACAACACCCCAAATGCGGGCAATCAAACCCAAAGCCCTGATGTCCAACCAACCCAAAGCAGCACGGCCAGGAACGCTGCAGGTAAAACCCTCCTAATGGTAATAGAAGAAAAGCTACGCGGAAAGATCAGGCTGATCAGGCATGGGCGTTTCCTGGCCTCGAGCTGCTGATCCTGAGCTGCCTTCTTGGCCGCATTCAGTTCCTCGCTGGAGTTCGCGGCCTTGGAGAGCCGTGCTCTCGACGAGTTTGAGGATTCGAGCTCTGAGTGCTTTTGGGACAGGCATTGCTGCAAGGAAGGAACTACAAGGTGCTGCGGCTGGTGTGCTATCTTCCACATAACTACGACGTAGTAACTACGATCTAACGACTTTAGCTGACACGAGATGAGCAACGCCCTGCCAACATAGGGTGAACGCAGGTGGGAGGGGCGAAGTTGCATCAGTTCGAGATCTGCGACGCTCTGAGCATCGAGCGATCGGCACAGACACGAGCGCGTCCAACATCCCCATGATCGCACCGGCATCGCCGCTTTCCACAGCACTGGCCACGGCACTATCGATAGCGGCCGACGCTTGCTCCACTGTGAGCCCGCCTGGAAAGTTGCGAACACTCTCGAGCGATGCCGGTCCCAAATAACCAAGGCTTCCCCCACCTTGCGGAACTTCCACCAGGGGTCCCAAAGCAAAGGATGCAGAGATGGCTCCTTGTGCCGGAGTTGCAGCTGCATAAGAAAATGCCCTTTGTGTCTGACGCTAGAGTCAACTCTCTCGTGCTGTGGTCTGCTGAATTTCGATGCGTCCGTCCTAAAACATCCCTGACCACCACGGCCGTGAAGTAGGAGCCAGCTCCCATCTCAGCGAGTGCCGCATGACGTACATGTCACAGGACCGTACAAGAAGGGAACCCGATGCAGCCATGCCACGGAAACTTGCCAGTTGGATTCGGGATCTGACACATTGATTTGAAACGTTCCACCCAGCTTCGACCAATGGATAGGACTCGTGCTGTCCCGCCATTCCTGAGGAGGCAGAAGCACAAGCACAGGAGGAGACGAAGAGTCCCTTGAAGCTGCCCTTTGCCGTGTCCGAGCCGGGTCTCCACCTCGGGAGGCTGGAATCCTCCATCCACGGTAAGTCCTGCGACATCCCCAGGCCCTCTCAAACCCAGGCCCTAGGCATCCCAAGGCCCTAAGCCCAATCTCACTGTGTGTCAGGCACCTCCATCCGGAGCCACAGACAGGTTCCTTGGCAGTGGACCGCGTGGGTTTGCTGAGTTTGCACCTTCCCGTAAGGGGATCATGCATGAGACATTCGCTGCTGCCGTCGTTTTGTGATAAATCGTGAGACCACACTGCCATACTGGACTACACGTTCTTTCCAAAAACCTGTACGTGACTCAAGTCTGCATTTCCGAGCACAAACTATAAAAATGCAATACATCTTGTTTTGTACTGCTATGACATGCCCCAGTGCAGTTAACAATCTTACCGTACACTCCAAACCCGGATCAGCTGGGGGTTCCTCCGAGCAGCTGTGTGAGCGGAAAGGTGTAGAAGGCATACGTCAGGCTTGCCAGGTCCTCATCCACCCAACCCGTGGCCGTCACCGTGAATTGCGTCGTGACCGCCGTCCCAGACAAGGGGTTGGGAGCCACCGTGCCCGCAAGAGGAGGAGCGTCGGCGATGAACCTTATCCAGGTCTCTTCGTGGCAGAGTGCAAATCCCCGGCAGCACCCTGTCCATCCTAGAACCGCCCCCCCTTCTTTTGAATCGTTGCTGTCGAACCCCGAACCGCGAAGCCACGCATTCTGCCAAGGATCTCATTGGAGTATGCCATCTTCACACCGTCAAGCTCTGCCTGCTGCAGGTCAGCCGCAGGTTGCAGCTCGAAGTTGTCCATCTCTGCCTCGTCTTCGGTTTTCGAGGCCAGGGTTGCATGGTTGCAGGGTGCACACCCTCACGAAAACCTAAACACTGAAAGCTGAAGCCCACCCAGAAAACCGCCCTAAACCCAAAGACCCTTGGATTGCGGTCTGGCTGCAGGGGTGCCAAGCTGCAGAAGGGCGATCTCGTAGGTTCTCCCTGCTTGAGCTGTCAGCTTCCGAAGCCTAAAGTTAAGGCATTGCACCTTGTGGCCTTCATCATCTTCGTTCTTGGTATCAGACTACAGTACTAGAGTGCAGTTTCCATAATGTCATGGTGTGAACGTCAGGCTGCAGAGTGACGGGTTGGGCTCTCGTGCACTTGAGTGTGGAGATTCGTCTGGACCCCAGAACACGACAGTCCCTGCGCTGCCAAGTCCCCAGCCCACAAGCTCCAGAACTGAAGACCTGTCGGAAATCCCCAGCCACCTGCTGTCTTAAACCGACGATCACTGATGCCTGCTTGCAACACGAGCTAGTCATGGCTAGTCGGGGTAGGCTCATTCAACACACGATCTCCCTTCATCGAGGGCCTTTCACGAGATCCTGGCCCCGGAACTCCGAAGAGCGCAGCGTCAGCTCCGTCGCGCGGTTGGGGTTTGTCTCCAGGGACGTTTGAAGGATGGCAACGATCCGGGAAGGAGGTGCCGACTCCTCAGCTCAGGATGTGGTATAGCCACAGCATTCTACGCCGTCATGCTGCCTATCATGGGTCAGTCGTACAAAAAAAAATCAAACCACAACCTTGAGACTAAGTCCGAAGCCTGACAGATTTTTGATTGCGAAATCCATGGGATACTTCCATACTCCGCTGTTACAATAAGATACCGTCAGAGGACCTGACGCATTATCACCAAGGATCCACAAGAGCAAGCCTCCAGCCGCAGCTCTCTGGTGGGTTGCAGCCTGGCAAAGCAATGACGCTTCGGGCTTGTGGGGGAGGGTTTGGATTTGGGGTTTGGAATCTCAAACTCTGTCGTAACATAATGAACGTGTGCGACTCCGCCTTCGATCCCGGACACAGTCGCAGAGTAGTCGCCAAGCTGCCCGCCCACTTGCGTAGACACGGCCTGTTGAAGATGCAAGGCTTCGGACTTTGGGATCAAGTGACGCACATGCTGGCGCATAGTAGGCCAAGTAGTGCTTGATGCGATTTCTTTGGCTTCTTGTTGTAAGATTCTGTGAACGTAGGCACTAGGCTGCTTGCCCGTTCAAGCAATCATATCGGCCTGTAGGGGCAGAAGAACTTTGAACCGTTCCATACACCGATCATGCTGGCCTATCCAGTACAGGATGAATCAACCACTAGGCACATCACCTTGGTCTGTAGGTAGATAGTGTCTAAGGGACTATGTTGTTAGCTCACTGGTGGCTTTGCGGGTGGAACCACCTGCTTGATAGTTGGAAACATAGGGTCATAGCAGTCGCTTCATGGTTAAAGAGTGCCCAAAACAAGACATTTGTTGAATGGCTTATATATATATATATACATATACATACATACATATATATATATATATAGACACATATAAATACAGATATATATATATATATACATATATATATACAGATATATATATATACAGATATTTTTATTTATTTATTTATTTTATGTATTTATTTATATTCACATATACTTATGTATATATACACATCATATGAACGCACGTATCTATCTCTGTAAGTATGTGTTCAAAAGTGTGTGTGTATATATATATATATACGAAAAGATAGATAGATAGATAGATAGATAGACAAACAGATAGATAGCTAGACCTAGATAGCTAGATGGATAGATAGATAGATAGATAGATAGGCAGGTAGGTAGATAGATAGATAGATAAATAAACAGATACGTAGCTAGATAGTTAGACAGGTAGATAAGTAGATAGGTAGAAAGGAAGATAAGAAGATACATAAATGGACAGACAGGCAGATAAATAGATAGATATGCGTGCGTAATGAGTGCGAGAGAAGGTGAGGCCCTTGGGGCCCGGTTCACAAAGCTCTTGCATACTCTGGTAACGAAGTATTTTGGCTATTGGGAACAAAGAACGTATACAACAGGATTGAGAAAATGTCGCTTGAACATTGACATAGTTGAAGGACCAGACAACAAACAGGAGGAAGTCTGTTCCTTCAATTACGTCGACATTTCCATTGTCTCAATTCTGTCCATTGCTTGGATTCTTACTATTGCAGTTAGGACACACGTTGCGCATCTAGCCGACCCACCGGTGTTGACATGATCACAAGAATCCAAACATCGAAGCAGTCGAAAGAGAAGCATTATTTCAAGTGCTGGGGTAACCCGGGGGTCCATTATTTCGATTTGTTTGGGTAACGCCGAGACTAGTCCAACTCGGCGAATGCTATTGTGCAACGGTTCTCAACTGTTTTGCCAAGAGCCTCCAAATTGCTCCATGGGACTGAGAAGTCCACTCGGGGCAAAGTTGGGGTCGCCTGACGTCGATCGGCAATCAGGCTACGCCATTCTCTAAGTGCATGTTGCATAACCCTATGACTTCTTTGACTTGCGATGTGATATCAGAGCCGTGAATTTACACCAAGCAGTCAGCCAGGCTGCGGTTGAACTCGTTGTCGTCGCTGTCCTTAGTGCGAACGCTTGGGGAACAAGGCTTAATATACTCTACATCGCCAGGAAACGTATCTGTGCTCGACGTGCTCGTGAACGAGGTGGTGGTGCTGGTTATGCTGCTGGTCGACGATGCACTCACCGTCGTTGAAGTGGTGCCTCACATCTAGGTTTCGGGGTTGTGAGTTCTCAACGATGCTCTGCTGCCGAGGACATCGAGCACATGGAACGGGAAGCAAACACACAGCAGCACACTTCGACTAAAAAATATATATCCAGTCAGAGCACTGGAAACAGTGACAGAGGAAGATGAAGTACTGGATGTAGACGTCGTCGAGCTTGTGCTTGTGGATGATGACGAAGAAGTTGAGCTGGACGTAGAAGTGGTGGAACTGCTTGTTGTGGAGGTGCTGGTCGTGGTTGTGGACGTCGTTGTGGAAACGGTTGTGCTTGTAGAAGTGGTTGAGGAAACAGTGCTGGTCGAAGACGTTGTGGACGTGAGAGTTGCAGTGGTAGAGGATCTGCTTGAGCTAGAGGTGGAGGTGCTAGTGGACGACACCGTTGTAGACGTTGTGCTCGTGATCGACGTGCTGGTAGAACTGCTGCTGCTCGACGTCGACGATGTGCTCGTCGACGTTGTGCTTGTGCTCGTGACGGTCGTTGTTGAAGTGGATGTGACGGTCGTGCTTGATGTAGTAGACGAGGTTGTTGTAACTGTGCTTGACGTTGTTGATGTAAGGGTTGTTGAACTGGTTGTGGCTGTTGTGCTGGTTGACGATGATGAACTGCTACTGCTGGATGTGGAAGTCGTGGAGCTGGAGCTTGTGGAGGTCGAGGTCGTGGAGCTACTTGATGAGCTTGTGGAACTTGTCGAGCTGGAGCTGGTGGACGTGGTAGTGATGGACGTGCTGCTGGAGCTGCTGCTCGTCGACGAAGTACTGGTCGAAGATGATGATGTAGTTGTGATGGTGGTGCTGGAGGTACTCGTGCTTGTGCTGGAAGTCGAACTTGACGAGGTGCTAGTTGTGGATGTTGTGGTGAAGGTTGTGCTCGTGGATGACGAGGATGTGCTGGAGCTGCTCGTGGACGAAGTAGACGTTGATGACGTGGAGGTTGACGAGGTTGATGTCGAAGTGCTCGTTGTTGATGAGCTGCTGGTGCTGGAAGAAGAAGATGACGTGCTCGTCGTGGACGTGGAGGATGATGTTGTTGAACTTGATGACGTACTGGTGGTCGACGTTGTGGTGATACTGGTGGATGAAGTAGACGTCGATGTCGAGCTTGTGCTCGTACTGGAGGAAGATGTCGAGCTTGTACTTGTTGAAGAGGTGCTCGTGCTTGTAGTCGAAGTAGAACTGCTGGAGGTCGAGGTGCTTGTAGAACTTGTTGAAGAAGTTGATGTAGAAGAACTTGACGTTGATGAGGTCGATGTGCTGGATGTCGATGTGCTACTGGATGATGAGGACGTGCTGCTTGTTGTCGAGCTGGACGTTGATGTCGTAGTGGAAGATGTTGTGGACGATGAGGTGCTACTGGTTGAAGTGGAGGACGTAGATGATGACGATGTGCTGGTGCTGCTCGTCGAAGTGGAAGAGCTGCTTGTTGATGATGTGCTAGTAGAGGACGTCGAAGTTGAAGTAGATGATGTTGATGATGAAGACGTGCTTGTGCTGCTAGTGGATGATGAAGAGGTGCTTGTTGATGATGTGCTGGTGGATGATGTTGAGGTTGAAGTGGAGGACGTAGATGATGACGATGTGCTGGTGCTGCTCGTCGAAGTGGAAGAGCTGCTTGTTGATGATGTGCTAGTAGACGACGTCGAAGTTGAAGTAGATGATGTTGATGATGAAGACGTGCTTGTGCTGCTAGTGGATGATGAAGAGGTGCTCGTTGATGATGTGCTGGTTGACGAGGTTGAGGTGGAAGTGGAGGACGTTGATGAGGTGGAGGTGGAACTAGAAGATGTGGATGTCGAAGATGTGCTGCTGGA